TGTAGTACTCCCTCCGTCCCAAAAAGTTTGTTACGTTTAGAAAAAATTGCGTCCCGTAAAGTCCCTTACATTTCTATTAAAAAACCACTTTTACCCCTTACTTTTTCATACCCTACCTATCACATCATACTTTTTTTCTAATAATCTACCCATCACATCCTACTTTTACCCATCACATCAAGGGTATTTTTGGAAAGTCAATACCAAAATATCCCTCTCTTAATTTCCCAAAAAGTCAAACCGTCCCATTCTTTTTGGGACGGAGGGAGTATCACTTTTCCATCAATTTGGCATCTAAAGCTATTATGCAGTACTAGTGCTAGGGGTGGGCAAAAAAACTGAATTAGCATGGTACCATACCGGACCGTAATGGTATCGAACCGTTTATAGTGTTTTCAAACGGGATTGATTTTTTTCATCACGAACCGAAACCGAACTGATACCAAATGGGATGGGACCGTGATACAGATATTTAAAACCGATTATCACGGACCGAACTGTCCAAAGCTATATACGGAGTACGTATCTCAAATAATTATGGAGTATTTGTCTACTTCATCTTACCGTGTATAGAGTACTTCGTATTTTATTATTCATTTTTAAACTCTCTCATTATTATTGTTGTTGTTATATTTATCATTACTATTGGCATTATTTTTTTTTATAGTTATTAGTATTCCGATATTATATGAATTGGAAAAAAATTATTTTTTAACTTTGGACTCGTTATCTTTTATTCTTTATGTTTATGATCCGTTTAAATTTGAAATCAATACTTTTATTTAACATTCTTGTGCTTTTTTATACAAAATTTATACATTAAATTCAATATTCTTTAAGTAATGTACGTTCATTTTTTTGGCACGGTTTGAGCATGGGTATGGTATTGTACCGTTCCGTTTCAAAACGGAATGGTACCGAATGGTTTTGGAATTCATCCCGTACTGATACCGAACCGTTTAAATAATAGCGGTCCGTGATAGGTTCCGGTAGTATCACGGATCATCACGGACCGCGCCCACCCCTAACTAGTGCATCCCCCGTGCGATGCACGGAGAGATAAGTTTATCACAAATTTAAAAAGATATGAGAATAGTTGATGCTGAACATTATTTAATTCTCGAAGATCAGAATGCCAACTTTCAGTGTTACTTTGTGGTTCAAAATTCCTGAAGATCTGATTGAGTTCAAATACTCTTAGGTATGTAAATCCCCAACTAAAGAGGTATTCATATCCCCGAAGATCTGATTGAGTTCAATTGAATGTCTTACCTGTTCCTCCATATCCATAAACAAAAAACATTCCACCAATGTTCTTTCCAAATGCTTCCATGATAGAGGAATACATGTGTCTTTACTCGTTGGTTAACTTTGATAAAAGCTGAATATGCTCGTTTTTCAAATGACGTCGATCATAACACATTTCATCGTTAATCAATCTATTTTCACGAGTGTAAATAATCTGCTCTACGATATGGCATTTCTTGAGAATCTTGCAAACTCCTACCATAACTGTGGAGTAGCTTATTACCACCATATCCATTGGTCAAGTGAAAATATCACGGGAAAATAACAATTAATAATGATATGTAAACATTTACATCTACATGGATTTTGGTTTGTTCAAATAACGCCAACTTTAAGTGAACTATACGTTGCAATAAATTCAAGTATTGTCTTATTATATTATTTTAAATATGTATTCGTTAGTCATTATGTCCCAATTTTAGGATCCATTTTTTATATATTTCTTAAAATCAATTAATAATTACATTTTGAAGCATAATATGGGTTTATATAAAATAAACATTTCAATTGTACTCATTATAATATTGGAAAGTTTTAAAAAATAAAAAGGAAGCCTATTTTAGGACGAAGAAAGACTCAAAATCATTTAATAAATCACTCATTCCGTCACATTTAATTCACCATTTTTGGTTTTCAACATTTTACTCAATTTAATTTCAAATAATTTCATTTGAAAAAGATATAGAATTAAAATACAAAAATTACATATTCTAAAATTGCATAAAAAGATCTACAAATATAATGGGGACATGACTATATTACTGAATAAAATCACAAAATAAAATGAAAAAGAATTTGATTAAAGTTTAACCGTGAGAATAGTTCACATGCAATTTAATTATACTTTGAGGGAGTAAATTATGTTCATATAATTTATGTTCATACTCCCTCCGTCTCAAAAAGTCTTTCCTGTTTCATTTTTTGCGCATCCCATAAAACACTTCTATCCCGCCTTGAATGCAAAAAAAACCTTTCAAAATAGCTTCTACCCATAATAAAGAAGAAATGTTGTAAATTTTAAGAATTTTAGATGTCGGTAGAAGTGTTTTATATGCGCAAAAAATGAAAAAGGAAAGACTTTTTAGGATGGATGAAGTATTTGACTATTTTCCATCAAACTTGGTAAATTTTGACATCAAAATAAATAAAACTAAAATTGTATATAGTATATGTGTGTGTGTGTGTATATATATATATATATATATATATATACACACACGCACGCACACAAAAATAGTGTAGTAGAGTTAACTTATAAAATATTGTCAAAATATTTTTTTATCTAATAGGAATAGAAAACAATTAGGAATATATTTATGTGTGTATATATAGAAACAGGAATATTAGCCCAATCATTGGCCAGGCCCAAGTTACTTTCCCGGCCAAGTAAGTTAAATATAAAATGAATTTTCCTAGCCCTACGTCTCATTTCCGCCGCTACGATCCTCTCTTTCTCGACCATCGTCTTCATCCTTTGTCTCCGCTCATCCGTAATCATCTCTCTCTCTCAAATACATCTCTCTCTCTCTCTCAAATACAGTATTAAAGTATTTATTATTATTATGTATATAGAAACATTTTTATTTTTTCTGTTAAAATTTCAGTTTTTTAAAAACATTCATGCGGTTTCATTTTTCAAGATCTAACATAATTGCTCTGTTTTTTTATATGCCATTTATCTGCATTTTTATATTTTTTTCTAGTTTTAGATCTTAAAAATCAAGTTTTTTTTCAAAAAGGCATGAAATTTGGTCTGTACAAATCTAAAGAACTTGTTGAGCTTTTAAATTTTTAATATATTTTTGTGGATATAACGGTAGACGTAGCAGGGTTAAACATGGCCGAAGAACATTTCATTAAAATCTCTATGTCTTCGGAAAGATATTCTATACACTTTCATGTTTTTTTAATGTATAAATTATATTTTATAATAATAATGGGAAATTTTTCATACTCCGTATATGATATCAAAATTAAATGAAGTAAAGAATAATTATACTCTTGTTTGTCAGTTGTTTCGTTTGGTTCCACATATTTTCCCAGATTTTGTTATTTTCTTCATCACTGGACCTTTCCAGAATTTTCAATATACGTTTCTTGAAAAAATGGCTTTTTAGATTAATTTGCTAACATTGTTGTCTTCAAAAACCTGTAAAAGAAGAGCATATAAAAAGTTAGTAATTGTTATTAAAGGAGCATATCTTTTATATCCTCTTTCTGGTTCATAATTTAAAAACAAATATTTCTATAATTGAAATATAGAACATGACCATGATTCCATGAATATAGAACATTGGAGCATTTTCAAAACTTTCCAACGCATTAATCTCTCCAAATGGTTTCAGATTGAAAAAATGCATAGGAATTGTTCATCCAAAATCTCAACAATAGTTGTCCTTTTACCAAGTGATAACTTAAATTTGTTTGAAACAATGTGAGGCTTGTTATTTGATAGAATTGCATGATTACTTATTCAATATAACTTCCCTTCTTTTAGTGTAGCTCCAAACACTGGTATTTCCTCCTTTTGATAGATTGCAAGGATGTGGTTCCCTTAATTTTTTTTTTCAAATAATTAATACATTTTAGAAAAGTGGCTAGGCACATAAGTCTTGAAGAAAAATACCTCATTATCGTGAAAAATATGCTCCTGTGCATAAACTTCTCCAGCATTCTTGTAGGACATTAGATCGTAGGAACAAATTAATCTTAATTTTAGATTGGCTCAAAGGTAGAGGTTTTAAATCCATCAACCACGTCCAAAGGGCAGGCATTTTTGAAAACTATAAGGCTAATTCTTATTAAATCAGTGAAGTGTAAGAATTTAGGGGAATCTAATATAAAAGTGGAAGGGTGTGTAGTGTGTTAGATTGGAATGGTATTTATACACCCAATGGAGTGTGTTGGGTTACAACTTTAACACAGGGATTTTATGGAAGAGATGTTTTCTACTCCGTATGTATTATGAACTGACTTTGTTGGTCTTTACCACTTGTAATGGGTATTTGTTGTGTAGTACACGGACCATGTTCATGGCATGTCTTGTAATTTATTGATTTCATCATATTTTTGCATCACTTATTTCCTTTACGAAGCTGGAATCTTTTTAATAAATAAGAGGCTGTGATGAATGGTTTTATATCTTTTGCTTAACACTATGTTTGGTTCAAGGAATTTGGAAGGAAAAGAAAAGAAAATGGTTTCTCTCATTTTTCTCACCAAAATGGAAGGAATTTGGTTTTCCCTCCACTTGGTACATTTTGCCTTCTCATTTTCTTTTCCTTCCACTTTTCCTTTCCTTTCCCTTCTAACCAAACAAGAAAAACAGTTTTCTACTTCATTTTCTTTTTTTTCCCTTTTAAATTCCTTGAACCAAACATAGTGTAAGTGTTTTGTTAGCGAATATTTGTAATTAGATGTAGATTTTGTGTTATTGGGACTGTACTTATAACCCATTTATGTACTTGTATATATATCGGTTTATGATCAATGGAAAACCAGTTCAATTGTGCTAAATTTTCTACATGGTATCAAAGCCAAACCCAGGGCAAGATACGTTTTTCGGTGCTGATCTCGATCGTGTGTTTGTGTGTGATCTGGTGTGGCCGGCGAATTTACCGTCGGCGATCGCTGAGTACTGGGCGACACTAGGCGTTCCTTCGGTAGAAGCTTCGGCAGACGCTGGTCCTCTCTATTGTTCTGTCCAATTATTCTGGGTTTTGTGTGCTGCGGCGATAATTGTCTTCTTTTGGTCTGCTGCTATTTGTGGGTATTTCCTTCAATTGTGCGTTATTGTTTTTGTTCGTACAGCTGCTTGGATTAATTTTGCAGCAAGAAGCAAAATCTATGGTTTGCTGCGGGTCATGTATAATCAATTAGGCCAAAGTTTGGTGATTTAAGTTTCTTTGGTTTGTTTGCTCTTTCTGGTGGATCTCAGCAGCAACTTCAATAATTGGTTTTTCCTGGTCTGCTATTGTTATTTGGTTAGTTCTTTGTTCTCCATGCTTAACTCAGTACCTTCTTCGTCGGATACGGTACAAGGTATGTCCCTTATTGTGCCGTGTGAGTGGCTTGTGGATAGTGGTGCATCTCATCATATGACAGGGATGCTTTCGTGTTTGACTGACATAGTGCAAAGGCCTCCTTGCACTATAAGCTTGCCCGATGGGGCCCATGTGGTGGCAAATTCGTGTGGCCGGGTGCAAGTGTCTCCTTCTTTAATTTTACACAATGTTCTGTATGTTCCTAATTTGAAGTGTAATTTGATATCAGTGAGTTGCTTTGTCAACTCACATAACTATCATGTTTTCTTTGATGATCATTCTTGTGTGATACAGGACCGAACTACGAAGATGCGAATTGGTCAATGTGAAGCATGCAACGGAGTCTATGTCTTTCCTTCTCATGCCCAAGCATCCAAAGCCGAGTCTGTTTCCTTATTGCACCAACGTCTTGGTCATCCGTCTCCTCAAGTTTTGTCTCTACCCCCATTTAATAAGAGTAATTCTGAAATTAAAAATTTTCAGTCTTGTGATATTTGTTTCTTTTCCAAACAGACTCGTTCCCAATTTTCTCCTAGTCTTAATAAAGCTGAACAATTGTTTGATTTAATTCATTGTGATTTATGGGGACCATATTCCCCTTGTATTTCTACTGGGTCACATTATTTCCTTACTATTGTGGATGATTTTTCTAGAGCTGTTTGGGTTTTCCTACTTGTTGAGAAAAGTGAGGTTACTAGTTGCTTGAAACAATTTTTTGCTCTCATACACACTCAGTTTCATAAAATCATAAAAGTTGTTCGTTCTGATAATGGAACTGAGTTCCTCAACCGGCCTCTTCGTGAATTCTACACGAGTAAGGGAGTGCTTGTTCAAACTTC